TATCCTTATCCTTCAGTTGTTCATTTTTTAATCATCTGATCAATCTTTTTCAATCATTATCAATTCGAGTATATATACTTCACATCTAACACTTGACATTTTTAATATTTATCTTTCGTTCTCTAGCCCAACCTTCTTTCAATCATCTATGATCAATCATCCCACAATATCCGCATCCAATTCAGTGGATTCCATTTCCATTCATTCATTCCTTTCATAATGAAACGACCTTAAACTCTGCCAAACGGTTCGAATGGGCATGCGAAGCCAGAGTCGACTGCAATTGAACTGTGTGGTGATTTATCATTATTCTCACCTGACGCTCGCCAATTTGCACGCTGTCCGCCTTGTCCTTCAGGGCGCTCTGTATAGGCTGTATGAGCATCGATATGGATGACAGAGTTGCCTCCTGCAGTCTATTGAACTCATCGAAACAGCCCCAGGCGCCGCAGCGGGCCAAGCCAGTTAGGATTAGGCTCATCGATTCGGTGTCGACGTTCTGCAAACAGGGCACAAAGAAACATTATGACAAATCGATGCATTCACGACCATCTCTCACCTCATCACAATTGAAGACCAGAACGAGGCGGCCGAGCATGCCGCCCAAGGCCTTAACGCACTCCGTCTTTCCGGTGCCCGCCGGCCCGAACGGATTACCGCCGAGGCCCATGTGCATGGCCTGTGTGAGTGTTAGATAGCATTTGTGTGTCAGCCGTGTGTGCACCAGCTTATTGGCGTGCCCGAGGAACTCGTAAGCGTATTCAAATTCAGCATAAACCATGCGCACCCACACCTGCCGAACGTCGCCAGCCCCCTGCCTGCTGCTGCCGCTGCTGCTGCTGCCCATGTAATATCGCAGCTGACTCAGCCAGTGCCAGTCGGTGGGGCTCATCACATTATGCTGCTGCAGCAGCTCCACCACGCCCACATAGTGCACCAGATCCAGGAGGAGGGCGCTCAGCTTAAGCCACTGCAGGCTGCCACCGGCCGAGCGCTGTTTCATGGCCGCCAGGTGCGACATCTCGGCCCGGAGCTGCTGCTGCAGCTTGGCCAACGCCATGCTGCCAATGGCCTTCTCCGTCTGACGCGTGAAGTGAAGGGCACGCGCCGTGGCCAGCACCTGGCTGGCGTACTGGCTCAACAGCTGGGCGCTGAGATAATCGCTGGCGCCGCTGGTGTTGTTGTAGCACTCGTAGATCTGGGCGCGCAGCGTCTCCTGCAGGACGGACACCAGCTGGTTCAGCCAGCGCTGTGGTCACAAAGGCAGGCATTAATAGATTCTTTATCCGCCTTATGCACTCAGCAGTCAACACTCACCTCAATGTCGCCCGTCATGTCAACGGCTTGGCTCAGGCGCAGCTCGTCGCCCTCGGCGCTGTGCACGGCCAGAATCCGGTATTGGCTGCCATTGGGCGCCTGCTCGATGGCCAGGCTGTGGCAGCCCGGAAAGAGTTTGCGTATGTGCCGCTTGATGATCTCCGCGTCCTTGGACGCCTGGCCCAGCAGCTCCAGCAGATCATCGTCGCCCAGGAAATAGAAGCGAGGAAACGAATTGCGCTTGTCCTGCGGGGTTAGCATGAGGAAATATGTATATTCAACAGGAGATGGAGGAGGAGGGGTCTATAAGTATACATCATTGCTCGCTTACGGTTATATAGCTCATCAGATTCTGCTGGCAGCGCGCCAGCTGAGTTTCAAGCGCATTCACAATGGTGTTTATATTGTTGATCTTGAGCAGAGACGTGACGCTCGGATCCGTTTGGATCTCACGCATCACATAGCGAAAGTCCTTGTCGATGCGCTTGAACAAAGCGTGCTCCTGCTGCAAGGTGCCGGCGCCAAACACGGGCTCCAAGTAGACCCAACTATAAAGAGGTAGACAGAGAGGGGAAAAGAGAGAGATATGTAAAGAGTTTCAGCTCAAGAGGTGAGTTAAGGAAACATCGGAACTAGTTCCCCTCACCGTCTCTGGGAGTGACTCAAGCTGGTGAGCAGCACGTCGAGCGTGTTGAGGCGACTCTCCCAGAGGCCCGCCTGATCGGAGAAGCTGTCGAAGGCCGCCGAGCTCTTGGCCGATTGCAGCAGCGACTGATTGTCGCCAATCTTGTTGAGCACCTCCTGGTAGTCCTTGATCAGGCACACCGCCTGCCCGTTGGCATCCATGCGCTCGATCAGCTTCAGCTGAGCTGTCACCGACCACTGATCGAGCTCGACGAGTGCCTGCCGGACTATCTGCTCCGAGGCAGCCTGGCGCACAATGCTGGCAATCTCGGGCGCAGCTGCCAGCAGTGCATCCAGGTCCTCCAGCAGATCCTGCAGCTGTATGGCATGCAGCGACTTCGAGCTGGCCCTGTGCAGCAGCTGGAATATGATGGCCCAGTGGCGCTCGCTAATCGCATCCGACTGCAGCTGCTGGAGTATGGGCAGCGCGGCCTGCAGCCGCTCCACCTGCAGGCGAATGCGCTTCGAGGGCAGGTCGATGGAGGCGTGCACCGAGCCCTCCCAGCGGGTAATGAACTCGTTGAGCACATACGGCCGCCGCCTGTAGATGGCCCACTCCTCCTGCAGGATGGGCTGCAGCTCGGCCAGGAACTGATCGTAGACCTGCCACTGCAGCGACTGCCGCTCCAGCTGCGCATCAATGGCGGCGAAGGGCGCCAGGGCATCTTCCGGGAACTCCATGTTGAATTTGTGGCACTCGTCGAGCAGCTGCTGCTTCTTCGCCTGCAGCTGCTGCCAGTGGGCGCGACGCTCCTTGAACAGCCCCAGGCTGGCCGACTCGTTCGCCTCCAGCTCGGCTATGGTGGACTCCCAGCGCAGCAGAAACTTCTCCGCCTCGTTGCGCAGGTTCTGGAGCTGGGTGTGCGCCTGCGTCTTGATGATGTCCACCTGTCGCTGCAGGATGACCGCATGGTTCTCCAGCAACGGCTGCAGCTGCTCCCACTGCAGCATGATGGCGGCCAGGGCGGTGACCCGCTCCTTGCACCAGCCCGCCAGGCAGGCATCCTTGGCCCTGACCAGCTCCAGCGTGCTGCTGATCTGCGGCAGCTCGCTCATGATCTTCTCGTACTTCATGCCCGACTCACTGATGCTGCCCTCGTCCATGGGCACGTTCTGCAGGAACTGCAGC